CATTTCAGTTAATCCCAGTATTATATTTTTGGTTCAATTAAATTTAATACAGATTTGATTATGTAAATAATAATTTGTTATAATTCTTATTATTTTCTTAAAAAATCAAATTTTTAATGTATTAGAAAATTATTCTTGTTTTTTAATAAACCTCAATTTTATAGTTATTCTATGGTTAATTTACAATCATTAACAATTACGTACAACAAACAGTATTAACACCGTATAATTGAATAACGTAATAGAAAAATTTCTATTAAAATTTTGAGATGAAATTGAAAAATTACGGTCGATGCCTCCTCCGGGTTGATTAATACACACTCCATTGCCACAGCCTAACCCACTTCTTGCGTAATCATTATTTTTTTTTTGTTGATGCAAGAAACTGTTTTCTGAGGCGTCAAAGAGCAGATTTAGTCAAACGTAATGTTCGTAATTTTCACTTCTGGTTCAATTCATTCTATCAAGTCTACTTTACATAAATTATCCATAGATTAATAATTAACTATAACAGTTTATTTTTATTTAATTGCAATAATCAGATGAAAACAAGTCATGGAAATTAATTTATTAGTATTTTCTAATTACATTTGTTAAATTTTGTTGAAAATTCTTTAGAATACAAATTTTCACTTTACGAAATTTTGATCCAGGTATTAAATTTTATTTTTAATGAGTAAGTAAAGTCATTTTCGGATGATGTTTCTTTTTTGATCTAATATTTTATATAAATTTATTAATTTACTAATATTAGGTCGTAATTTCGACAATTATTTAATCAATTTTATATTGTTTTCTTATGTATTACGTTTTCAGTTTGTTTTGGTTATTTTTTATTGAAGTAGGTAAAAAGACTTGGTCGATGCAGACAAATCTAGATCAAGAAATATTGTAAATAATAATATTATTGATGTGGAAGAAATTTCCTCTAGACTTCTTTGAAACAAGATTAAAGAAAAGAGAATGCATAAGTTCAAGTGAGTAATATTGTAATGGTTTTGTTTAATGCGTGTAAGATTGGACATGAGGGTGAAATAAAATTGTAAATAAAAATCATTAAGTAATTGAGATTTTATTTGAAACTTTCATAAATGTATTCAAATTTCACAGTTTTTTTATTAGGTTTTTGTTCTTGGAATTGATTGAAAACGTATAGACTGTTCTTTGTGTTAGGTTTGGTTGTTCTTCGACAAAAAAGTTTAATTAAAAACTGGATATTTCCAATGCAACTATAAACATAGAGGTGGCAATTGGAAAAACAATGCAGATGCCGTACAGTGTATGCAATCATCAAACAATTGTAGAACAACATACTTTCTGTCTCCAGCTGCGAATTCACAAATGCAATCTATTAAAAATGACAGATTAAAAGTATAAATTCAATATCGAAGCGTTTATTTTTATGTAATTCTCTGTTCTATTTGTCGTTAGGGAGGGAGAATTAATTAATTTTTGTTTTTGAATCGAAAATGCAAGCAAAAAAAAATAAATAAATAGAATATGTGTGGTTGACTACATATAAATGCACGGGATATGGAATTAATGCGGACGCGAAATGGGATCGCAAATAAATGTTTGAATGGCGAGGCGAAGCACAGGATAATAAATAAATAAGCCCCATAAATTTCATCCTGGGCCGCTGCGAAATTGAATCCTAACATTTTCAGTTTTAATTACAAGCAGAACGCGTGTACTTTCCTCATCCTCGTCCACACTCACACACACGTATATATTTATAGGAGAACACAACAGAAACCGCGGCAGTACGGTGATATTAAATCCACCTTTTGAAATTTTCAGATTTTCATTACTGAAATTTACTCCCTCAGAAAACCGCGCCTTTCTCATATGCAGAAGTCATCTCTTTGTTTTTTCCATTGAAACTAGAATTGATTGCATCACATATTTTTGTTATGAATGTAGTTTCTATAGAGTCGAAAACTTAATTAGTAATAATTTGTAAAGTAATGTTTCTTAAATGCATTTAGTAGTTGAAAATAATTTTGTTACTTAATGCAGCTATTTCGTAATATAATTTCGCAAGTTTCAAGATAACATTTGATCTTCTGATTATAGCAGCGGTAACTTCTTATAGCTGTTCCCCCCTTTGGTTTATATCCCACTTTAATCATTCTTCCTTTCTTTTATTGCATCCACCGCAGCAGCATCGCCTTCATTTTAAGCAATAACCTTCCTTCTTTTTTCCTTTTGCGTTTTTTTTTTATTATTTACACGGTGGAAGCTGCGAAATGACGAGAGTAAAAAAATCATAATAATAATAATAAGGAGAAGAGGTGGCGCGCAGGAAGAAGTAATCTATACGACTGGCGAAAAGGGGACCCGGAACTAGTTCACTTGAATTATATAATAAAAGCGTCGGTTTATCACTAGAAATTTAATATATAAAGTTATGACGAGTTGGCGTTTGCTATCTCGCTCTAGCTCACGGTGTAAACTCTCGGTGTATGTGTGTGTGAACTTTGCGAGAACCGTGCAAAAGTTTGTTTATCTGGAAGAGGCCCTTCGGTGGGAAAATGCTCCGGCGATTTCGTCAAGTGCAATTTATTAAATTGATTACGATTATTATCGCTCATGCATATTTAGATTAGAGTGTGTTTCGAATCTTTCGATGAACATAGTAAACAAGCACTTAAAGTTTCCGGTTTACAGGATGAAATTACTAATTTCACTATTAAACTTTTGTTGCTCCCTTTGCTACGATATCAAACGATTATACAACTATTCCATTTCGCTCCTTATATAAGCAAGTGCACGTAATTGCAGCGTGTTTACTAAAATTAATTCATTTACATTTCCTACATTTGTGTTGAAATTTGTTCTTTTTTTACAGTTCTCATACAATATTTAACGCATTTTTAGTGGCGTTACGTTAATGCCTAACAAAAAAAAACTCGTTTCACAGTTAAACCAACGTTTGCGCAAAACGTTAGACACATTTATATGAGAATAAAAGCATCTATTTGTGTAATGTAGTTCAGTAAACTTTGTATTTTGTTCGTTTCGGGTTTTCTTTTCTTTCATTTTTCGACTTCTTCTCTTCACGCAATTTCACCTGAGCTCGAGAGCGCGCGTGTGTGTGTGTGTGTATTTGTGTGCGCGCGATGATGATGATGATGATATAAGCGGGCATTATGTAACATCGCCGAGCGTGAACTCGCTTTCATTGAATCGTTAAACGTTCAACATTGACCGGTTTCCATCTTAAGGTCATTGCCGAAGAAAGTGCAATACTTATTACACGATTCTCGGGTATTATCTTGCAAAAAAAAATAATGAATAAATAAAATCGTCGAACACGAAACTAATTATTTCAGTAATTTGATTCATTATGCTTTCGTGCGCATCAATAAATAAATTCATTTAAATTATTTATTGCCTCCTTGAAAGCGCATCGAATTTATACGTAAATTATTTATTGCAAATTTTACTGTATATAGTAAAATCTTCATTAACAATCAGCTTTTATATATGGAAATTGTTATTTACTATCCTATAATTCAACAACTAAATAAAAATTATTATTTACAGTTTAAATTTTGAGAAAATAAAGCACAATAAATAAATATAAAATAACTTAAAATAAGAAAAAAGGTACATTTGCAACAATTTATTCAATGAATGAAAACTCGTGAATAACTGAAATATTGTTAATATTTCTTAACATTTTCTAAATAATGCATTTGTAAGAAATATTAGTAAGAAAATGTTCTTGATGTTAGTTGAAAGTGAAACATTTATTTCTGAAAACTCTTTGTAAAACCAGAAATTTGTAAATTAAAATTTTATTTCTTAGAAAAAGACTGTAAGAAAATTTCACTTAAATATAAATTATTGAAGAAGATGTAAAGTTAACAGTAAAATACAAATTCTTTAAATCATTTCATAAAGTAATATATTTTATTTTAGTCAATTTAGGAATATAATTTTTAAATAAAATTATTTTTTTTCTAAAATCTTGTAAGTTTAAGTATTTTAATATTTAACAATTTCATTTTATTATAATTTTTGATCCAAATATTTGTGTTTTTCTTCATTTTATTTAACTCGGACAATATATGAAGTGTAGTTGTTAAAATTTCGTCTGCATTTGAAAATTCCTACAAGAAAATCAAATATTTGCCTTTTCCTCCACGTTACATTTAACTTAAACAATATTTGTATTATGTAAGATATTTTCGTTGTGTATTTTTTTCTTCAATTATCGAGCTTTATCTAATTCGTTTGCAAGAAGTGGCCGTTCTTCATCGGATTATTTCGGTGTTAATTTACGTTCATTGCCAGACGGTAATTATGAAGCGAATATCGCAATTGGGGCCAAGAGTTCAGATACACGTAAATTAGATCGCGCATACGGATATGTAGCAGTGATAATGGTAATTTATGGTGGTCGAGACAATAACATGCGGTGGTAACGCACGCAACGCGCGGAGGATTTTATCTCTTTTATTATCATTATAGTAAATTGCAATTCGGATTTGCTGTTGTCGTTATAATCATGTTTTTTTCTTCTTTTTCTCGAGTATTATTACTATTTCTATAAACGTTTTTTTCGAGTCTCGACTATTTGTTCGCAACTTTGTAAGCTTTTATTACGTCAGTTCATGAGCTGTCGGTGATTAGGTTGATGAAGCGCGAATGCGAAGAAAACGCTTGATGGATTGCGGGGTTGCGAGGAAAAAGTTGTCGGACCTCGGATGCCATATGTAGCTTCGACGTCGGTGAAGATGTTCGTAACAGTAAACTGGTTTTTGCGACATTATCACTTCGGTTATCTTGCGTAACGCGCGCGGCGCGCTCGTTCAAGAGTTATTAATTAAGGGTCTCTTCTGGTACCCACCCCTCTTTAGCTACTTCGTATACTTCATCTTCTTCTACTCTATATGATAGTGCATTTGAAGATAGTACTCGCGGTTTGTTTGTTTTCGCGTTTATCTGGTTGTAACACTATTAATGGATCGGTCTCAGATCATTGCACCTACCTTGTATAGTTGTTTCCGTGCGGTGCGAGCGTAGATGGGTATGGGTGTGTGTGATGTAGTATGTTTGTAGTAAGGAGCGAGTAGCGACTTTGACACTGACACTGGCGCTGTCCTTGGCCTTGTCTTTTGCGGTGCGTTCACGGTCACAACCACGATAGAAATGCTTTGGCGAGCGACGAACTGCTTCTTTTCCTGCCTCAACTCTGCAAGAGTACCTGGTGGTGGGGCCTTACCACTACTTCGAGTACGGCAGGTGGAACGTCACATATTTATAACTTGCAGAGCCTATCATTGGTCGATGGTGCTCTTCTTGTAATCCTAGATCCTGTTTTATTGTTGCACACTCTTCGCTTGTGTACCACGTCCCTTTTTTTCTTTTCCTTCTCCTTCTTTTTTTTTTTCATTTTACATTATTTTCCTGCTGCCGTCGCTGCTCTCCGCTTGTTTCTTCTTCTTTTGCCATCATCATCAACCATCGAGAGAAGAGGAGTGCTCATTTGAGAATCGACCGTGGAAAGCAAAAGTTTCTAAAGGGTTGTTGTCTGCTGCTGCCGCTTCTACTGCTGAGCCTGATCCTGCTGCTGCTTCGAACGGTAACGGGGTCCATGACCTCCGAGGGGCATTCCATGACCGGCCTTGGGGTTCATCCAGATATTTATGCGAATTTGCATTCCGTAAACAATCAACACGGTATCGATGATGTAATCGGATTCTTCGACTCTGTTAAATCCAGTTGTTCGGGAAGAGATTATGTGTGCTCTCGTTCGAACTGCAGTGACTTTTCAAGTTTCCGATCCCAAATTTATTGATTAAGATTTTAACTGTTTTATTTACAGTATTTACAAAAAAAAAACTTTTATCGAACCACTTTTTTTTAATATAATTAAAATACATTACAACTTAACATTTATTACAGCCAAAAACAACACTGACCATACATAAAAGTACAAACATTAAAAGATTGCTGTAATATAATTAAAATATTGCATTGAAAAAAAAATTCTATCAAAATATCTGAAAACTTTTGATAAATGAAATTTTAACAAAAAAAATATACTTCATTTTTATATATAGAAATGCATTCTAGTTTAATTGTAATTACAAAATTAATTAATTACAAATAAAGACATATTATGTAATAATAATTATTAACAACAATATTAATTTCTAAAATTACTTAATTATTCATATTTATATTTGTGTAGTAAATTAATTTGCGATTTTTTATTTTATTTCCTACAAAATTTACTATTAAAATAATATAAAATAATAAAAATTTGTGAATTATAGTTAAATATTACATTGTATTTAATTATTCCAAATAATATAATATGAAGACGCTAATAAACTTAATTTAATTAAAGATTACATAATTTTAATAATATATAATTTGGAAAACAATAACATTACATTTTGTGTTTCATGACTGAGTAACGTTGTGCTTCAATGAATCATAGTTGTTATAGCATTCTGTTAATTCTGTTTGCAAATAACTGCAGAAAATAACTGTAAATTAACGGTGTTAATTTTAATCTTCGCTTGTTCCATGTATAAATAATATGAGGTTTGTTCGTCGGCTGCAAAAGTTTGAGAGTCGCTGAGTCCGTTCGGTAATATATTGGAATTGGCGGCGATGACGATCAATTAGGTAATATCGGTTCAACAAACCTAAGAAGATCTAGTGGGTTAGTTCGGGATCGTTTAACTGTTTCCGTGGCCCACGCATAATGGGAACGCGTTTCGGTTCACAATGTAATAGCAATAAAGAGCAAAGAAAACCGGACTATAGGTGTTGTTTCGCTGCTTCTGTCCGTGTTTTCGGTTCGCCAAAACGTCTCGGTAACCCACATTCAGCTCACAGAGTTGCCCCGATATCCGAGTATAAAGAAAAAGAAAAAAAAATACCATAAAAGCAAGAAGTACAAGCAGAAAAACGAATGAGAAGAACAAGGATGAACGGTCGCACGACAAAAATTTCGATGCGCCTGGTCGGAACGGTAAATCCGACTTTGGGCAAACCGAAATACCCATGGTACAGTAATAACGACGGCTACAACGATGATGATGATATATGACCAATTACGTTGGAGACTTTCGCCTTCTGGTCTGATCGAGATGCCATTGATTAGAAGAGCAGAGCAGAGCAAAGCAGAGCGCAATCGTTTCCAGAGCCGTGTTATTATTTCCGATGGGGATTTCAAAAATCCGACGTCTTGGTGGGCTGTAATTAGAGATTTAATGTCAAACGGGCTTTAATTTGCTCCATAAAATCCGAGCAGCGCTCGGATGAAAAACAGAAGTCCGAAAGCACTGTTAAATTACACGGTGCAGGCTGTAAAAGCGGTTCATTAAAGTCCAAGTAATGCCCATTATCTGATTTTGATTAATACGGGAGGAAGGACGGGTCATCAGCCAATAGAGGAATGCGTTGTAATAATGATACGCGTAGCTATAACTTACGCAAGAAGTTTTCGGGTTTTAAAGAAATTGAAGAAATATTAAAAAAAAATAATTATTAACTTTGAAAATTTATTATAGGAGAACGGGAAATGTCACGAATATGCTAGTAGGTTCATTGTAATGGCCATAGTTTTTTCATTAATATGCATTATCGATTATATAAGTAGCTTACGTGGTTATCGAGAAATTAAATAGAATGTAAAGACGTGACAAAAGTCGGTTAACTTTTTTTTTTATTCATTTCTAAATTCCATTAGGTATTATAAGGAAAGTTTAGGTATTTTATGGATTACCGAATTGTATACTTTTCCGCTAAAAGACACACTCAATTTGAGCGGAGATCTTGATGAACAACAATGAAAGGGGGCATCGTTGGATGGATACATCGAATTCCGTTAGTATAATGAAACAAATAGAAGAATGCGTTATAATAATGATACGCATAGCTATAACTTACGCAAGAAGTTTTCGGGTTTTAAAGAAATCGAAGAAATATTAAAAAAAATAATTGTTAACTTTGAAAATTTATTATAGTAGAACGGGAAATGTCACGAATATGCTAGTAGATTCATTGTAAAGGCCATAGTTTTGTTATTAATATGCATTATCGGTTATATAAGTAGCTCAAGTGGTTATCGAGAAATTAAATAAAATATATAGACGTGAAAATCGATACTTTTATTATACTTTCTAAATTCCATTGTAAGGAATGTTTAGGTATTTTATGGATTACCGAATTGTATACTTTTCCGCTAAGACACACTCAATTTGAGCGGAGATCTTGATGAACAACAATGAAAGGGGGCATCGTTGGATGGATACATCGAATTCCGTTAGTATAATGAAACAAATAGAAGAATGCGTTATAATAATGATACGCATAGCTATAACTTACGCAAGAAATTTTCGGGTTTTAAAGAAATCGAAGAAATATTAAAAAAAATAATTGTTAACTTTGAAAATTTATTATAGTAGAACGGGAAATGTCACGAATATGCTAGTAGATTCATTGTAAAGGCCATAGTTTTGTTATTAATATGCATTATCGGTTATATAAGTAGCTCAAGTGGTTATCGAGAAATTAAATAAAATATATAGACGTGAAAATTCGATACTTTTATTGATACCTTTCTAAATTCCATTGTAAGGAATGTTTAGGTATTTTATGGATTACCGAATTGTATACTTTTCCGCTAAAAGACACACTCAATTTGAGCGGAGATCTTGATGAACAACAATGAAAGGGGGCATCGTTGGATGGATACATCGAATTCCGTTAGTATAATGAAACAAATAGAAGAATGCGTTATAATAATGATACGCATAGCTATAACTTACGCAAGAAATTTTCGGGTTTTAAAGAAATCGAAGAAATATTAAAAAAAAATTAATTGTTAACTTTGAAAATTTATTATAGTAGAACGGGAAATGTCACGAATATGCTAGTAGATTCATTGTAAAGGCCATAGTTTTGTATTAATATTCATTATCGTTATATAAGTAGCTTAAGTGGTTATTGAGAAATTAAATAAAATATATAGACGTGAAAATTCGATACTTTTATTGATACCTTTCTAAATTCCATTGTAAGGAATGTTTAGGTATTTTATGGATTACCGAATTGTATACTTTTCCGCTAAAAGACACACTCAATTTGAGCGGAGATCTTGATGAACAACAATGAAAGGGGGCATCGTTGGATGGATACATCGAATTCCGTTAGTATAATGAAACAGGAATTTCGGCCTTTTGTATTTCCTCTCTGCTTCTTTGCACCAGCCGTCACCGTCTTCGTCGTTGTTTTTCTTCCTGTTCTCTTCGCTCTCCTTGTTGTTATTATTATGAGATATACATTGTTTCCTACGCGCGAACTGCTTCAATTTGAATTCCTGCATCGCAATCGCAGATGGTAAATATTAAAACTGTAGGCCTAGTCTCGTTCTCCTAACTGTGCGTGTGTGTGGCTCTTGTTTGCTTTTGTGTTTGTCCCGAACAGTTACGAAATTCATTTCTCTTGCGTTTTACTTTAATTGCATGTTAAAAAATGTATGTCGTTTTTTTTTGTTGCAATTGGCAGATGTACGAAATCGTCGTTCTCGTTGGGAGGTAATAGTTAGTAGCAGGCCGCATAAATCATTTGCTTTTGCAGGTAATGAAATGTTGCATTGAGCGTTTATATTCGATGATATATTGAGTTGCAGCTTGCGAGGGTTGCACACACAGAGACTGTATGAGCCGAATCGAATCGAGGAAGTTGTACCTCTTCGTACATGCATATATACGTGGCAGTGGAGGATGTATGTGTATGGCCCATGCATATATCTATCTGCGATGTAATGTGTGCTGTTTGAAAGTGTGTTCCTAGGTATAGAGGCATGTACCTTACGAAACCATGGTCGAGGGACGCGGAAAGAGCGGCGGAGAGCCGAGCTCTGCGGCCTGTGTTTACAAGGAGCAAGTGGGAAGGTTGGCGCGCACGGAACTAATTCAAGAGTAAATCCATTAACAACAATAGAATTGTGGGAAGGATCAACAACTCCTTCTCGTCGCTCTTCGCCCTTTCCAATCCCTCTCTCTCTCCTATCCTCATCTTCATCATCATCGCATTGTCTTCGCGTGGATATGTGTAACTTACTAATTAACAACCCCTCGACACTCCCACAGACGACGGCGCAGTGTGAAAATGTTCCTTTTATCCGTTTCCACCT